ACGTAGTTATTTAAAAAGACCAAGGCAATTAGAACCTTTTGAACTTCATATTTCACAGTTCTACATACTGCATATTCCTATATTGATATAGAGTCATCTCTAAGATATATTGCTAAATATAAACAAAAACATAAAACAAGACATACATTAGTTTTACAATATGCCACCATTTAGGTTAAAAATGAGCAAAAGTTACAAATAAAACCAATTGAATTATAAATTAAACTCAATGAGGACAATGCCCTCATATGATTTATTTTTGTTATATTGCACAGCAAATATTTTCATTAATGTTAACTAAATATTTTTCAATTAATATTTGTTGGTTAATATCAATAGGAATAAATGTCCTAAGTGATAAAGGAAAGGGAAACAAAGGAAAAACAAGCAAATAATCATTGTTTACACTTATTAGCCAGTTGAGTAAAATATTATCAAAGGAGAAAGTGCAATCTGACAGTCGATGTGTTGATTTTGGGTCATTAAATTTTTTGATTACTTTCCATAAATTAGCCATCCCCATGAGAACTGAAGAACTGTGTGCTCTTGATTGTACCAACTCCTTTCAACCTCGCCTTGAAAAGAAAAGATACTCTAGAAGACTCTGCCTGCCAAAAGCTTACTCAGATCAGGTCTCTGTTATTTTATGTCCTCACTACCAGATTAACCCAGTTTCTCGCTCTTACACCACATCAGGAAAATCAAATGCAAAGATGCCTATGTATCAGCAGAACAATTTGCTCATGCTAAAGAAACAGGTATAATTTGATTAAAGCCAGGGTTTCACATTGCTGCCTGCATGTTCCTTTGTAAGATGTATGGCTTTATAGCATAGATCTGGGAAGTAATCACTGTGAAATCTGGCTGTTGCCAAAGTAAACATCAGCCTGTTTTTTTGTCAAAATGCTCAGTGTGTAAGTTTGCCATGTCTCAGTGGGAACGTTACTGCTACAGAAGCATTTATGCTATTTCTTCCTTAATTTGAAGGCTCTTTTTTAACCAAATAATATTCAAGTGTATAAATACAAAAGATGTTTTCTAGTGTAGCAAAAGCTCAAACATTGAGAAGCTGTTGTTTTCTTATCCTGAAGTCACCATGTTAAAGATAGTGAGAGTCTCATCAAAGAGTGGGCAGTAGGCTCTTTGCAGCATCATCCTTGACCCTTTGGCTTCATCTCAGATAGATAGATAGATAGATAGATAGATAGATAGATAGATAGACAGATAGATAGATGCGTGTGTGTGTGAGAGAGAGAGAGAGAGAGAGAGGCAGAAAGAGAAAGAGTGAGAGCGCTTACCTAAGGAGAGTAGAGAACAGAGCAGTGGTGGTGAATCTATGGCACAAGTGTTACTTGTTTTTCTTTTATGACAAAAGATGTTAATGTATGAGTTGTGTTTTCTAAACTAAAACTAGAATTCAGATTTAATTGCAGTGTAGGCACTTGGCAGTAAATAAATGGGTTTTGGGTTGCAGTTTAGGTACTCATCTCTAAAAGGTTTGCCATCGCTGGAATAGAGACTACATTTCCTAGCCTCTCTTGCAGCTAGATGTGGCCGGTCATTGGAACGTGAGAAGTCTTGTTGTATGGCTCTTCCAAGGACTTGAAGGAATTGAATCTGCTAGGATGAACCTCCTTTTTATCCTTTGGGGCTTGATGGCCTGTGTTAGAATGCTGGAGGGACAGAGATGAAAAAGACACACTCCCTACCCTCAAGGCATTTACAATGTACAATCACACTTTAGAGATGTAGAACTGCCAGGATGGGGAAGAAAAGGGAACAAATTCTGAGTGCAGGAAGTTTAGAAGTTTTCACAAAGAGGATGTCATCTAGACTGCTCTTTAAAAAAGTGAATTATAACAATAAAAGTCAGTTTTATTAAGGACTTACCATGTTTACAAGTGTTATTTTATTCATTTTATGTGATAATCCTGTGAAGTAGATACCATTGTTAACCTATTTTACAGATAAAGGGGCAGAAAGGTTAAATGACTTACCTGAGATTAGAAATCTAGGCAGTGGTGGAGCCAATGTCTGAGGCTTGGCAAATCAACCTCCCTAAGTCCCCAGGGCTGGGGACCTGTAGGTGAGATACAGAGATGGAAAGACAAGCACCACCCTCTCGTTTTGATCATGTGGTCTGGCAGTGGTCAGTGCAGACAATTCAAGCCAAACTGGTTGTTAGGTAGAACGTAGGCCAGTATTTTCTAGTCTGTTCTCGTGTTTTTTCAGAACATCAACATTTTGATATGCTCAGGAAAGGAAACAATTAAAAGATCTACATACACGGTAACATATAAAGATCCAGAGAAAACATGTTTAAAAAGCTTAATTTATTTTTTTTTTTACATTTTAGGTACACAATATAATGTCATTCATCATTGGAAATTTGCACCTTTACATAATCTCTCCTGATTGATATAAAAAACTTAATTTAATTTCATTAAAGCCAGAGCTTCTCAAACTTATTTAGAAATTGAACATAGGTAAAAGTAGAGAATATAAGAACTTACAACACTCAGCTTCAAGAACCATCACTATTTTTTCTTACTTGTTTCACCAATGCCTGTTTTTTCCTTTTTTCCCTGAAGTGTTTTAAAGGAAATTATAGATAGCATGTCATTCTACTCTTATATTCTTTGGTAAATATTATCAAAAAAGGGAAGATTTTCTTACATAAAGCACCATTATCACTCCCTATTATGATTAAATAATTCCTTAATATGGTTTAATACCCAGTGTACAGTCCATGTCTCTGATTATCTATAAAGTTAGAGCTCCCTTTTTAAAATAAAGACCATTGGAACTCTTTCCTTATTATATCAATTTAATATAATGATGAAGTGACAGTACCAAGTGATCACATGTTAGAAAAACATTCAGTAGTTGATAGTTTTTTTCTAGGGAATAAATAGATAAAGCTCCCTCCTCATAATTCAAGTTGAAAAACACAGAAGAGTATTCACAGGTCTTCATCTTCATCCTCAAAATATCTTTTGGCTAGTGAAGCAACTAATAACTGGATTGTACAACATTTTATTTACTTATTTAACTTTCCATACAAACAAAGTAGAATCCCTTTAGCTTCCCAGGAACACATGTTCTAAGAAACACAGAAACCTTGATTTGGAGAAAGCAATCAATTAAAAGAGAGCTTCATTTTTTGTGAGTGCTTTAGTATTTGGTAGCTATGACTCTGGACTTGTATTATGTAGGTTTTTCACACTTTAAAAGGAAGGGCCAAGTAATCAGTCCGAGTTATGATTCCTAATACATCTGTCAAATTAACACACACACACAGTACTGCAAAGCTTTTTACTTTTTTTTTTTTTTTTGGTACCGGGCATTGAACTCTGGACCTTGCGCTTGTGAGGCAGGCGGCGGAACCACTGAGCTAAATCCCCAGCCTAGTACTGCAAAACTTAAAACAGAAAAGTGTGGTTGTAAAGTTAAAAATCAGGTCAAAACCATCTGAGGCAAGTGACTAGGTTACTATCTAGATCTATTCAAACAAGATTAATCTAAAAGAAATACTTGCAGTATGGATCTGTAAAGTGACAAAGTAATTAACCACACAGCACAACAGCAATTTGGTTTCTTGGTCTACAAGAGCAACTAAAATAGACACCTCATACCAGTACACCGCCAATGGTGTCTTCTAAATTAAAGAACAGAAGAAATGATTTCATTAATTGATGTTTTGATGGCTAGCTAAATATTTATATACCCCACAAGCACTGTACTCAAAATTTACAATTGTAACGCAGCCTGCAGCAACCAAAATATTGATTGAGTCATAAAAATTCAAGGTTATTAACCCAAATATCTTCTTGCTTTGTATAAAACTAATTGTGAGGCCAGGGAATGCAATTTCTGAGACAATTACCAGGAATGGGGGCTTTAATGACTCTTATCTTAATGTACTGAGTAAATAAATAGTAGCTGCCTAGTCCAGGATACTGAATGAGTTTCCTGCCAAACCTCAGTGTTAATCCAAAGCATTTCTCTCTGTGAGTCCAGGTGATTCTTTACCTGAAGTCATACTCGTGCACTGTCCAAATCTGAAATCCATGTTCCTGAAGCAGTAGACATTCTCAGACAAACTTTGGTATCTGACAGTACATTGTCAGCAGTAAAATTGTGGAGAGGAAAGCAAACACAGGAGTTAGCCATTGAAAAATGAATTCAACAAGTTCTCTGGAGCCACTCAGTGGTTTCACACTGCAAGCAGGAACTCAAGTTAGCTTCGGGTTAGGTAGGGAAGATATGTTTGTGGGGGATTTTGTACTTATGTGGTGTGATTTTGTGAGCCACCAGGCAATCCTTTCCCCATATAGCACAAGACATAGAGAGGTGTGGCTTAGCTAATTGCTGCAGGACAAGATGCACAAGGAGGAGCCAGGTCCTCAGAGCTGATTTCAGGCTAGACAAAGCTAGCTGAAGGGGCAGTGAAAGTAGAGGCTGGCATCTGGAGAGCATGGTGACAGGCAAATGTTGGTAGTGACAGTAATGGGCAGTAGCAACTCCACACAGAGCACTGGAGATGTCCCAACAGACAGGCAAGGGGCAGCAATTCAGAATCATGGAGTTAGGGCCACCAAATCCAGGAAGATAGTGGTGAGTCAGCAGGATCAAGGACCCAGGCACAAGTACCAGATGTATGGCCTGTATCTAGATGTCCCCAGAAAGACTCAGGCAGTCACTGGTTGGGGCTTTTTCAGAGGTGGCTCAATCTAGAGTGTGTGATGCTGGGATTAAGGGTGTGTGATTACTAAATCAGTCCACTGATGGGTTTGGCACGCTCTAATTCCAGTAGCCTAGATAAAAGGGGCAGAAAGAAGCTGCTAAGGTCGTTTGTTGGTTCCCTCTTTCTTGCTTTATGACCTTTTGCCTGCCATGAACTGTGCAGCCCCTCTGCCATGCCACCCTGCCTTAGAGCCAGCTGACTATGGACTGAAACCTCTATAAACTGTGACCCAAATGAACCTTTCCTCCCTTAACTTTGGGTGTTGAGTATTTTGTCTCAGTAATAAGAAAAAGAAACTAAGACACCAGGGCAAGACAGAAACCCAATGTTTTCACTAGGGTATAGGTTTGCTGTAACAAAGATGTCCAATGTAACATGGCTTACATCACATAGTACTGTAATTTATTCATCTCGCATACAACTCTGCAAAAGAGGAAGGACACTCTTGGCTCTGTGACGGTCTTCAAGGGCCCAGAACCCATCTTCTGCATAGAGCTTTCACCTTTGTGTCCAAAATTATTGCTCCGTCTCCTGCTCTTGGTCACAACTAGCTTATCAGTACCACATTGGAGTTCCAGCTTGTAGGACAGAGGACATGGAAGGTAAGAAAACTCATGCTATGATTTGAATGTTTGTACCTACTACCTATTCATATGTTGAGATCCCAGCCCTCAAGCTAATGATATTACAAGGTGGGGGCTTTGGGAAGTGACTGAGTCATGGAGCCCTCATGAGTGGGAATGATGCCCTTATACAAGAGGCCAGAGAGAGACTCCTCACCCCTGCTCCCGGGTAAGGACACCCCAGACACAGAATCTGCTGGTGCCTTGGTCTTGGACTTCCCAGCTCTCAGAAAAATGAGAGGAAAAAAAGCTTGTAGTTCATAAGCTACACTCCTCAGTTTATAATATTTTATTACATTAGCTCTAATGGATTAAAACATTTCATTTAACAAAAAACCATTTCATTTTGATGAAGGTGTGGCTCAGTAGGACAGCATGTGTTTAGCCTGTACAAGGCCCTGGGATCATTAAGGAAAACAAAAAGATTTTATTTTGGGCCGGGGATTTAGCTCAGTGTTTCCACCACCTGCCTCACAAGCCAAGGACCCGAGTTCCATCCCCGGTACCACACACACACACAAAAAAAGATTTTATTTTGATACCCATGAAGCAAAAGTTACTTACACACATCGCTTCTGCCATTTAACCACTTGTAGTTGTAAGGGAAGCTGGAAAATGTGGTCTCTACCGATGTAATTATGTATCTAGCTAAAATTCAAGGAAGAGGGTTGTATTAGGTCCTGTAGCTGCAGTAACGAATTATCAAAAAATTGGTGACATAAAACAACAGTAATTTTTTTTTTGGTACCAGGGATCAAACTCGGGTCCTTGCACTTGTGAGGCAGATGGCAGAACCACTGAGCTAAATCCCCAGCCCAACAGTAATTTATCCTCTTATAATTCTGGAGATGAGAAGCCCCAATCCAGTATCACTCTGCCAATATGAAGGTGTTGGTAGGGCTACCCTCCCTCTGCAAGGCTTAGGGAGTCTCTCTTTGCCTCTTCCACCTTCTAGTGCTACAATGTTCCTTTGTGGCCACATAACTCAATCTCTGCCTCTGTGGCCACACTGTCACTTTCTCCTCTGTGTATTCTCCTTCTAGTTCCCCTGACAAGAGTGCATTTTTAGGGCCCATCCAAATACCCAGCAGAGAGTCTTCCTACTTCTAAAACCTTAACTTAATCATATTTAAAAAAAATTTTTTTTTCCAGCCAAGTGTGGTGGCACATGCCTGTAATCCCAGTACTTGGGAAGCTGAGGCAGAAGGATCTCAAATTTGAGGACAGCCTGGGCTACATAGTGAGATCAAGGCTGATTTAAAATACAGAGTGAGAGACATTGTCTCAGAAACAAACAAGCAAAAATCTTTTTTTCCAAATAAGGAAAAATTTACACCTTCCAGGAGTTAGAACCTGAAATTTTGGGGCACTCAGTTACTAAGCGGAAGGGAAGTGTCCTCTGCCACACCCAGCAGTCAAGATAAGGAGCTCCATGGAACTCCATCAGCCTCATCCCGTGCTGTGGACCAAAGGCAGTCTGCAGTGGGGCAGACTTTCCCTTCTGGGTTCAGATGGGTATGGGGCCTGGAACATGCTTTGGCCGGGGCAGAGTCAGGAAGGGAGCCCTGACACAGGGAAAGGTCTACTAAGCCAAGGAAGCAACAGCCAGGCAATTTGTGTACTGTGAACAGTATCTACCACAGTGAGAAATCTTAGGGAGTGTCACCCAGGATACACATAAACCTCCTGGACCAATATGGAAATACTGAAGCCTTGGCCAAGCCTCAGGATGGAAAAGACCCCCCCCAACACTTCTCTCCTCCCTCATTCCCCAAATACCACTTCTGATGCTTGTTGATGAAATGAAGAAATCCCCTTCACTCACTTTCCCATATTCTACTCCCCAGAATTAACTACTCTTGAGTTGATCTTTCCTGATTTTTCTTTCTTTCTTTATAAACATATACCTGTACAATGATCTATCTATGTATCTATTCATCTATTGATCTATATAAATAGATCAATATATATAAAGAAATTTAGGGATTTCTTTTTCCATAAACACGCTTGCATAAATACCGTATGTGTGGGATTCTTTTTTTAATTTAATAATACATCATAAACACTGTTGCTTGTCAACAATAATAACAAACAGTGCTCACAACATTCCAGGCAAGGTGCTGAGCACTTGCTTTATACTTTTATTTGTGTCACTCTGCCAAACACCTCATTAGGTCCAAGCTATTATTTTCTCTTAAAGGTAACAAAACAGTCAGAAGGCTTAAGTGACTTGCCTAATGTCACATAATTAGTGAGTGGCAGAGCTGAGATTTGGACCCGGATAATTGATACCTGCACCTCAATTTTGCCTAGATTCTTTTTTATTTATGATGCTTCTGCTATAGATGTCCTTATAAGTCCTTGGCTCTTCCACTGAGGCTTCTCAGCTCTTGCACAAAGCTTTTGCATCACTGTGTCTCAGACTTCCCTGAAAACTAGCATGGTTTTTGCCTGCTAGACCACTGGCTGTCACGGGGAGCCCTTGGCCTTCTGCACCAGCTGGCTTGTGCTGGGAAGGAACCCTCAATTCCATTCCCGAGGCTGCACCTGCCCTGTTCCTGGCTCCTTCCCTATTCTTCTCTCTGCCTCTAGATTTGTGCCCCAGTGGGTTTGGCCCAGCATCTGTTGCCCCTGCTCAGATAAACTGGCTGGGATGCCCTTCCTACCAGCACAGCCTTCTCTCCTGCATGTGCAGTGACTATGTGACCCTGAGCCCACAGTCTTCAGTCATCATACGGGGGCACATGATTCTGATATGAGGGTGAATGACCCTGCTGACCAATGTCACACACAGATGCAGGTGGGTGCTAGTGTGGTAGGGAGAAGTTCTTGGAGAACTTGACTCCTAACCTGGGAGTCTCAAGGCTTTGCCCAGGGCAGGACCAAGTGAATCACTCTGCATGCTAGGGCAAAGGCCTTAGCAACCTTGTCGCCTTGGTGCTGCTGTTTCTGGGGAGCCCTGCTGGGGAGCTACATCCTCACCGGAGCCAGCCTCCCTGGTCTGTCCAGTTGCCATCTTTTCTCCCTGACCTAGTTACAACAGGAGCTTCCTCAGGCTCCACCAGCCTGAGGACAGGAGATGCAAAGAAAGCAAAGGGATCTCCATAATGCTGGCCACAGAGTCACCAGATCCCAGGAGGAACCCCAGGCAGAGCTTCCAGTGGTTCTTCATGGGCCTGTGAACTCCCACCTGTTCCCTCTGTACCTGTGCCCACTGCTTCAGCCTCTGCTATCCCTCATGTCTTTTGGGGCTGCCCTGACTTATGGTGATGCCATGAGCAGCAGGCAGTAAGGCAAGCAGTCCAGGCACGTGGCTACTGGGACTGCCTGGCTGCACCATCCTCCCTACTCCACCTGTTCACCCCTCTGGGGACTCCTAGAGCCAGGAAGGACTGCCTCATCTGGCTTTGGGCCCTATCTGGACTTCTGCTGCTCCCTCAGGCCAGCAGTAACCTGTTTGTCCTTGGGGGGGTCTTCCTGTCCCTCAGAGGCCTGTGTGCACTTGGCTGATGCTGTCTTTCCACTCCAGGTCATCCAAGTCTGGGGCATGATTACCAAGAGTCATAGGACTGATGTTTTCATGATTCTCTCCACTTCCAGTTCCAGGGCCTCTTGCCTCTGTTTCAGTCACACTTGGAGAAACCAGATGCAAAGCTCAGAATTTCTCCCATGTCCATAAGCGTCCTTTAACCATAAGCACTCCAGGAGCTTAGTCATCTTTTCTGGAAGTGTAGGTACCATGGGCCAGGTCTCATGTTGAAGCCGATGGCGTTTTGTTATCTGATTAGTTCTTCTTACATATTTTCCTTTCCCCTCTGTCTCAGGCAAAAATGAGGCTCCTTCTTTGTTGTAGGTAAGCCATTTAGTCTCCATTTTTGATAAATATATTGGCGTTACCCTGTACCCTATGGGCTTATCAAAGTAATTCTCCTAAACCCTAAGCTCTCCCAAAGAACTGTGGTGAGTAAACATTTCTGCATTGCACAGCACATTCATTCTTGGTCTTCAGAGTCCAAGTCTGCAGTCTTGGTCTTCAGGAAGTTCTAACTCACCCTGCCTAGGGCTATAGCTCCCTATTACAGTTCCCAAGAACATCAGTTCTCTAGGTGGACTCCCAGGCCCAGCAGCTTCAGCATTACCAGGCCCTTGGGAGAGAAGAGGATTCTCAGATCACACCAGACCTACTACATCCCAGTCTCTAGGTGGGGCCAGAGGCCTCCAGGGCAGCCTTACCCCTGTTCCCTGAGGCTCTCTCCCCCAGGAGGAAACAGGTCCACTTCCCATCCATCACAAGAGCAATTTCTCCTGGGAAGTTGTAGCTTTTCACTTTACACAAGATGCTGGGGTCAGTTAGGCTCTGACATGTCAGCTCTGACATAGGCCATGAATCAAACTTTCCTATAATCTGTCGTGGAAACCAGTTGGCCACCAAAGCTAGGGAGGAAAGAAGCCCCTTCCATGGATACTACTGTTTTAAGAGACCAAGAAATGAACCTGGGAATCTCAGGCTTTGGGTAGAGCAGCGATTTCTGGAGGCAGCATGGTTCTCCTGGCTGTCTTGAAACCACCATGTTGAGAAGGTCCCCTTGTTGCTGGAAAAAGAGGACTAGGCTGCCTGGTGCTTCATGTGTGCAATTTTGATCCACTCATGCTGAAGTCAGACTTCTGTTCACAGCATTCTAGAACACAGACAAAACTGGAGTGGGAATCAGGGGCAGATCATAAAGGGTTTTGAAAACCATTTCTAAAAGTTGGGCTTGATCCTCAGAGCAATAGAGGACCATGGAAGACTTTTAAGTATAGGAGTGATATACTCGGATTTTAATGTGGGAGGCAGGTCTGGCCTCTTTGCAAAGAAGTAGTGGATTGAAATGGGGCCTGTGTGGGGTCACAAAGAAAGAATGGCAGGAAACAGGTGAGAGGAATTCTGCAGCAGCTTGAATTAAGGCATTGCAGTAGTGACTGAGAGAAGTGGCCAGGTTTGTAGAGCTGTATAATAGGGAGGGGGAAGGGAAAGGAATACAGACACATACTATGTCCTAGGCTGGGTCCTAGGCACTTGCCATTTTTTATAAGTTTCTTTCTTTCTTTCTTTCTTTCTTTTTGTTTTTTTAGAGACAGGGTCTTGCTATATAGTCCAGGCTGGCCTTGAACTCACTGGGTAGCTCAGTCTGGCCTTGAGTTTGTAGTAATCCTCCTGCCTCAGCCTCCCAAGTGCTGGGAGTGCCACCAAATACAGCCTGCCATTTAAAACTCACAGTGACAACCTATGGAATCATACTGTTACAGTCCTCATTTTGCACATGAGCAAACTGAGAAGTGAATAACAGACCCAAATAACGCTTGATGGGATAAAGGTATGTGAGTGAGGGAAGAAGGATTAAAGGTCGATGCTTTGGTCTCTGACGGGAGTACTGGACGTTGGTGGATGCTGGTGTCACTTCTTGAGATGGGGAATGTGGGAGGAGAAACAGGTTTTTCCAGGAGGGGAACAATGAGTTCTCCCTGGCTTGTTGGATTCTGGAAGAGGAGAAATGGAGCCTCATCTCCTTAATGTACCCCAGTATGATGTGGTTTAAGCAGTTTTCTCCAGAAAGGGTTATGCTGACAAAAAATTCCTGTGTTGGAAGGGGGAGAGTTTTAGTGATGTGGGATGGCCACTGTGGATTATTTTTAGGGCTTTAGGATTATGGTTGGCTCTGGGATTTTTGTCCTTGAATCATGAAAGATAAAGCCTTTGTCTTTAGTGGGTCGCCACCACCTCCATGCATTTGTCTTGTTTTGCATGTAAAGCCACTTCTTTGGCAAAGGATTTGTTACCCAAGAGACCAGAATGAATCAAGTAAATATGTGTTTAGTCAGTTTCTAAAAATCTGTAGTTTATCCCAAGAGACCAGGAAGGTTTTTGTCTCCTAGGTAAACAGCAATTAAACAGTATATTAAAATGTATATTATATACCTGATTGGTCCACAGGGTAATTGGGCATTTTAGGGATATTTTAAAACATGTGTCCTACATCCCTCAACACTTTTTCAATCTATCAAGTAACCATATACTTAGAACATGTGTTCTGCATAGTAAGAGTCATTTTATAAATCCTCGTTAAAGGGAATGAAACTAAAAGGCATAAGCGGCAGTCTGTTTTTCAGAAGTGTTTTTGCCAACCAAATGCAGACAAAGGGAAACAGAACCAGAGGTGAATCGTCCACCATAGGCGCCTGCTCCCTGACTGGGTGGGACCCCAAAGGCGATCCTGGACCAGGAAGATCACCCCTTGGGCTCACTCGCACACCTTGCACAGGTAGGCTAGAAGCTGTCAGAAAAAGGAAAAGAGGAGAGGGGTTTATAGCACAGCCACAGGTAATAACCCGCAGGGAAGAATTCACACTTCCCTGCAGAGAATGAAAAGCAGGTGTTTTGGTGGCTGGCTGGCAATCGAGAAGAAAGAGGCCCAGGTCCAGCTTTCTCTGGTGTGCTGTGTTGGCCAAGGAGATGCAGCAGATGAGTGAGCTGCGTACTTGGTGGGGATCCTAGAAGGAGCAGGAGGATCTGCCTAGAAAACTTGGAGGATGTGTGGCTAGGGTTTGAAGGCAGCAGCTCTCCTGAGCTCCCTGGGAAGGTTACCAACACCTGCCAGGACCTCTGAGCCATCCTGGCTCCACTGCTGTTCTCCAGGAGACAGCAACTTACACAGCCTTTGTTTCCCTAGTATTTCAGCTCCTCCGTAGTCTTTAGACAGTGATTTTTTGCAATGTTAATTCTGTCAGGCTATAGGGAATGGGGTTCTACTAAGCCTGCCTTTTCCCCAGTCTAAGCACCTCTGTAAGCCTTTGGCCATTAAATCTAAGGAATCAAAGCTGCTTCTAAAGTGAATGGATTTGGCAGTGAAGGGAGGTTAGGTGCTTCAGGGCCAGGGTGGCCACGACTGCCTCTGAGAGTCCAGAGAGCTTCACAGCATAGAAGAGGAGCTTCTTGAAAGATCCCACCTTGAAGGACTGTGCAGTTGGTCGGAGAAGAAAGTATGTGATTCACCCCAGACTGCATATGCTAAGTGAAGATGAGAAAGCAGGAAAAAAAAAATGTAGGCAAACAGGAAGGTGAATAATAGGGAGGAGCTGAGAGGAAGTAATAATTGGAGAGGAAATTTTGAAATAAGGATAAAAGAAAAGTTAACTCCTTCATAGGAAAAGCCAGACCATGTCAGTCTGTAAGTTTTCTGGGGTTGATCAATGATTCACTTGCTTCAGACTATTTTTCTGCATATACAAAGGAGGAGAATTTACTGTGCCAGGAAAGATGGCAGCACCCCTTCTTTAACTGCACTGTTAGAATGGCTTGTAGTAGTGGCTATTATCTGGGAACTGGGGAATTCTGACGTTAGTTTTGGACATAGTCCTAATCGGTTTTAAAGTATGACACATATGCATTCTTCTGATGTTTAATGTCTAAGTCATTGGTGCCTCTGGACAAGAAAGGAAATGAGGTGCATAAAATGCTGGAGTTGCTCTTGGCACAACCTTACAGGGTTAACAAAACAACTGTGACCTCAGAATCTGCATCAGGTGAGGTTGTCAGGTGGCCTTGGGCTTTAAAATTGGTGCCATATTCATTATCAGCAGCACCGTGGCTGCACTGGATGAGGGGTTGAGGGTGATCCCACTTCATCATCTAACAGCCTTCATTTAATGAGCACATACCATGTACAAGTTTTTCATGGGGACTTTGCACTTCTGGTGCCTGACCCAGCACCTGGCTTTATCTGCTTCATTTCACACAGCGGGAGGTCCAACATGATCTGGGCCCGAGAAATGCCTTTGCTCTCTTGTGCTGCCTGCAGAGCCACCTAGCAGCAGTGTCCTTGCTGAGCTGCATTATGAGGTATTTCTTTGCAGGACACCAGCCTGTCATCCACCCAGACAGTATTTCTCACATGGTACAAACAGAGCAGCAGGGTCGGGGTAGTGGTGAAGAGGTGTCACCTTGTGAAGAGAGGACAATTGAGTAAAGCCTGAAGGAGTGGGGACATGGTCTAGGGGAGAGATTCCAAGCTGTGGGAATGACAAGGGCAAAGAATTGGGACAGGAGTGTGGCAGAGTACTGTGTGCACAGGAGCAGGGAGCCGAGGAGAGGAAAGCCAGGAGAGCTCAGAGAGGGAGGCACAAGGGCCAGGGTCAGAGCAAGTAGGGCCTTAAAGGCCACTGCAAGTACTGTGGCTTTACCAGAAAGGAGGACTCATTGAAAGGTTTTGAGTGGAAGAGGAAGATAATTCTAATTTTTTAAATGGCTCATTCCAGCTACTGCGTTGAGAACAGACTGTGTGCGGTTTCATAGGACAGTGAAGACTGGTGCAGATAGACTGGTTAGAAAGCTCTATAAGGTCTCAGTTCTCCAGAGAAACAGAGCCAAGTGATAGAGATCAGTAGGGAGGTAGGTAAGGAGGTAGAGAACTAGTATGCAGGCTTGGCTGAGAAGTACACATCTGCCATTTGCAAGTTGGAGCCTCAGGAGAGTTGGTAGTGTAGACCAGTTGAACGTCAAAGGCCCAAGAACCAGGTGCACTGATTTCTAAGAGCAGAAGAAGATGTGTGCCCCAGCTCAAGCAGGAGAAAATCCACCCTTCCACCACCTTTTTGTTCTATTCAGACCCTCAAAGAATTGGGTCACACCCAGCCACACTGGTGAGGGTATATTCACTACACAGATTCAAGTGCTCACCCTTCTGGGGACACCCTTCAGACACACCCAGAAGCAGTGTGCTACCAGCTATCTGGACATCCCTTAGCCCAGCCAAGCTGACACACAGAACTGCCCATCACGGGAAGCAATCCAGAATTGCAGTCCTTGTCCTCCCCATCACTTATCCCATTACGAAGACCGAGCTATTCTACCTTCATCCCTTCCTTGCCATCTTTTTGGCTGCTGCTTTCAATAGAAACTCATCATTTTTCTGAGGTACCATTACTGAGCATCTGGGAAGAGTCTCCTTACCCGCATCTCTCACCTGCAAAGCTTTCCTCCTCAGTACTGCTAGTGGAAGAGTGGAATTGCCTTAAAACAGACTAAGCCAGACATGGCAGTGCACACCTATAATGCTAGCTACTTAGGAGGCTGAGGCAGGAGGATTGGAATCTTGAGAGCAGCCTGGGTAACTGAGACAGTGTCTTACGATTTAAAAAAAATTTTTTTAATGGCTGAAGACCTACCTCAGTGGTAGAATGCTTGTATGAGGCTCTGGGTTCAATCTCCAGCGATGTTAAAGGCATACACCACACATACACACACACACAGGTTGGATATCATCACTTCTCTAGACAGCTTTGCTATGGCAGATGCCGAGGAGATCAAAATATGGTAACGAGATGATCGCTGCCCTTGAGGCAATGCCTTGTCCAGTAGGAGAGACAGAGCAATGACCTGAAGCACCCAGAGCCGTGTGCCATGCTGTAAGGCCTGGGAGTACAGAAGGAAAAGCAAGGTCAAGGACAGAGAGAGGTGGTTACATTATGCCGAGGCTTTAATGGAAGAGAAACAATTTCTTGACAGAAAGGAAAATAAAAAGGCATTCACAGCAAGAAGAATAACATAGGTCCATTCATCCCAGTCCAGCCTGAACCCCTGCTCACTAGGGAGCTTCCTCACTCAGTGCTACCTTCACATTAGCCCAACTCATAGTGACTTATATTAACTTTTTAATTTGAATTTTTTAAAAATTAGACTTTATTTTTTAGAACAGTTTTAGGTTCTTGGCAAAGTTGAGTAGCAGATACAGAGATGTCCCATCTCTCCGCCCCTGCAGATGCAGTCTCCCCATTACTGACACTGGGTACCACAGTGGCAAATTTGTTTCAAGTGGCCAACACTGACACATCATTACCATGCAAAGTGTACCACTGACATCTTGCATCACAGCAGTTTTTTTTGCTCTCCTGAACCCAGGCCCTCATGCATGTTTGGCAAGCACTCTAACACTACATTTCCGGTCCTTTTATAAATTTTATTTTGACAGAGTCCTGCTAAGTTGTCCAGGCTGCCCTTGAATTTGAGACTCCACTACTTCAGCCTCCAGAGTTGCTGGGATCACAGATGTGTGCCACCAGACTGCAGCAGCACAGTGGTGCATTTATTACACTGACACATCATTACCATGTAAAGTCCACAGTTTACATTAGGATTTACTCTTGGTGTTATACCTTCTATGAGTTTGAGACAATGTATAATAATAAGTATCCATTATTATAGTATCATATCAAGTGGTTTCACTGCCCTAAAACTCTTAGTGTTCCACATGTTCATCTCTCCCTTCTCCCTCACTCTTGGTCTCCATAGTTGTGCCTTTTTCAAAATGACAAATAGTTGTATTCATGGTATACAGACTGTTGAGCTTGGCGTCTTTCACTTAGCAATATGCACTTAATATTGTGCCATTTCTCTTCATCGTTTGATAGCTCATTTCTTTTTGGCACTGAATGCTCCTGAATTGTCTGGATGCACCACAGATTATCCACTCACCTACAGAAGGACATGTTGTGATTTCTGAGTCTTGGCAGTTATAAATAAAGCTGATATAAATGTTCATGTGCACATTTTTGCATGAACATAAGCTTTCAACTCCTATGAGTAAATGCCAAGTAACATGATTCCTGGATGATCAGAGTATGTTCAGCAGTGTAGTTAGACCAAACTATCTTCCAGAATGGCTGGGCTATTTTGGATTTGCAACAGCAATAAGTGAGAATTCCAGTTGCTACACATCCTCAGCAGCATTTGCTGTTCTTCTACTTGCATTTAAAATAAGAAATCTTTCTTTTCAATTAATTGCACAGTGTGAATACCACTAATAATTGAGTACATCTCATAATCACAAAACACATTAAATGGGGTTATGAATATATTAATCAGCTTGATTCCTTCCCCACTACTGGGGACTGAACCAGGAGCTTCATGTATGTTAACCATCTACTCTACCACTGAGCTACACTTCCAGTCTAAATAGCTTGATTTAATCATTCCCCATTGTGTTAAAAAATGTCATTTTCTACCCTATAAATATCTACAACCTATAATCTAATAGGTAATTGAATTTTTAAATATTTTCATTTTTGTTGGTCTATGTTTGCAATACATAATAACTACATTCATCTTGGGGAACTTGTATCTTGATAAGTTTTTCCTCCCTATTCCTCCCCACCCTCTGCCCTATTCTCTCTTTCTCCTTCCTTAGTATATAAATTTTTTTAAAAGTATGTTAAAAATAAGAAATGTCTGCCTCTCACAAGCCAATTACAGTCTCGTATTTGCTGATCACCGGACTTCTCTTCCCTTGAGCAAACCTTCATAGGAAACCATCTGAAATCCAGCAGACTGCTTGGCAAACAGAATGAGCAAGAGGAATCACCTGGATGCTCTTAGTGACTTTTGTCAGTCTTGGTGGCTGATGTCCTTAGTCTGACTATGGCTTTGTGATAGGAAGAAGTTACCTTTTTCCTTTCTATGCTTTCCTTTGCTTCATAAATTTTTCCACTAATTACTATTTTCCATACAATGTACAATCAGACCTGGGGCCATTCGTGCTCTATGAAGCAGAGATGCTTCATCATTTTTATGCCGTGATCACTTTGGCAATCTGGTGAACCCTTGTAGACCCTTGTTTTGGGGTCCCTTTTTGGAATATTTTTACACTTGACCTTAGCCAAAAGGCTGAGAAGCAATTGGGAATATTTTAAAATACTATGCATAAAATAAAATTCATATAGTGACTAATTTATTTCTTTACTAAAACATTGATTAACATTATCTAATAAAGACTCAGTGGTAGAGCTCTTGTCCAGCATGTCTGAGGTCCTGGGTTCAATCCCCAGCGCCAAAAAACACAAAAACAAAAACAAAAACAAAAAGCTCCCACATGATCTAATGGTAACAAGCACTATAATTTTGAAAAGGTGCAGTTATAATACAATTTGAAAATATTTGGGATTTCTTTTAGTGATGAAGTCACAATACTTCACATTGAAATGTAATGAAATTTCAAATATAGCTTAAGGAATATTCCAATTATAGGTTTAGGAAAATAAAAATAACTATGTAACATTTCCCATTCATGTTTATTGAGCCTGAACTTTACCCAGATTAAGTATCTCTGCTTGAAGCTGATAACTGTGCGTATCTTTGCTCATATCTATTATGCTGTATATAGTTTTGTCATTTAACCCCTTCCTTGTTTCAACTCATTTGAGGAAGGGCATCACTTCCAGGAAGCCTTCCCAGACTTACCTGAATAGGTCTCTTTCCTATAATTCCTTCCCCAGGCACCATAAGCCTCTTTTTCATACATTTGTTCGAGTCTCCTCAAGTTTTTTTTTTTTGAGACAGAGTCTCACTATGTGGTCCAGACTGCTCTCAAATACCTGGGGTCAAGCAGTCTTCCCCCTTCAGCCTCTTGAGTAACTGGGACTACAAGTCCATGCCTGGGTTGAATTTTCCTTTTAAAAAAATACTAACTATAACTTATTTTTCATGATTATATAAATAATACATCATTGCCACAATTTTCAAAATTGCATAAAAGCACAAGGAGCCAATGAAAATCACCAGCACCTGAGATAGCCATTTTTCACAGTAGGTCAGGACAAACCTGTCCATGTCTCTGTGTGATGATTTGATAATTGTTGGCCACCCCCCACTTAACTGTAAGCTAAACTGTATGGGGGCAAGAAACTTGTTGGTATTAAAGAAAAGTAAAAACTAAAGGCCCAAAGATTGAGCATTGAGTGGAATTTTTTGTCTTCTAAGAGGGCTTAATCTGTCACAGAACCTGGGCTATGGGGTGAGGTTAGGAAAGGGAAAACAAGGCAGACCTTTTAAAGGTGAATCTCTTACTCACTGTCTGTGTCCCATATTAGCCAGCGAGTTAGTGCCAGGTTTGTAGTGAGCAAGCACTGGGCTGCCCACGTGTCCCCTGGCACCTAGCTGCTTCCAGTGGCACTTAGGTCCTTCCTGCCAGTGGTCTGGGTGGCAAGCTCAGACTTCATTTTCACTATTTGCTCTCCAATGTCTGGCATGTATAGATTCTCAGTAAATCTCTACTGAATTTTTGTCCCTCTGTATACCCGTAACGCATTTTAACTTGGTGTCAGTCTTTGAAATCTTCTTTTATCTCTTTGACACATTCACTCCTGGTCCTCTTGAGTAATGGACTTTCCTTCTTTCATCTCAGACAGACTTGGAGTTCTCTTCATTAAGTTATTCTCTACTGACCCAGTAGCCCCATACCACCTCTCATTTACCTGAAAACTACTGTTAAAGGGCTCACCTGATGCAGGCCTTCTCTTGCTGAAGTCCACAGGTCACTCCAGAGGCTACTTCTTTGGCTACTGAGAGCTGACAACAGAAATAAAAATGAGGTCTTCTCAGAGAAGCCTTCCCAGATCACTGTTATGAAGTAAGTCGGTCCCCCTGTATTAGTGACACATGCCGCCACAACTAAGTGCTGGAGACTCTGTGCTCAAACAACAGTTGTTTTTTTTTTATTATTATTATTACTGAGAACCTACCAGCTAAAGACAGAAGTTCAAACAATGGTATGTCAAAATACAGAAGACGCTGCTTTATACAATAAAAAGCACCCTTTTTCCTTCAAAAGGAGAAGGCATCTAAACATTTTTAAATCATAGGTTTCATAATGGTACAATGGATAGCTACTTGTCAAGTTTCTCAGGAAGTTCTCTTCACCAGGTGGATTGACTGGTTCACCTCCACTGGGCAATGCTTTCCTTTCATGCTCACTCCGCTCTCACCACGGTAATCCCCTCCCAGAGCTGAATTTCCTCCAGGACACAAGGAAACAAGCATTGTCATCAGTGGACTTACAGGAACCCTGGCAGCAGGCGCTGCAGCTGCACAAGGAGCAATGTCTGATTTTCACAATCTTTTCATGGATACCCGAGACCACGAATAAAACTCAGATCCTAAAAGGAGCCATGTCAAACAACAGATTGTTAACAGCACTGGAGCCTGAAAGTCTGAGAACAAGGTGCCAGCACGATGGGTTTGAGGTGAGACCTCTGTCCCTGGCTGGTAGACACATGCTAATGCCTGCTTCATGCCTGCTTGGAGAGAGGGGTACAAGCTCCCTGGTCTCTGTGTATGAGGGCACTAATTCCATCCTTTGTGTTCTGCCCTCCCAAAGGTCCATCTGCAAACACCATCACAATGGGCATTAAGGCTTCACTATGTGAAGGGGGGGGGGCACGAACATTCAGTCCATAACACTTTCCAGGCACACTATTCATTCTCTATTTCAGTTCCTTGTTGTAATGTATTTCTTTGTAATATATTGTAACTTTTCTGCATTTTCTCATTTTCTTGGTTCATGTCCATCCCCCAGAGAGGATAACTGTCTCTCCTATCATGTGTCTCCATCTCTCAAGATGTAACACATGGCATTTATAAATGCCCGACAACATTTACTGATTGAGTTTAAAGTGAATGAATGAATGGAGGAACTTCTTGGACAGCTCACTTACACCTTAGATTAAGAAGTCGAGTGGACATGGAACTTCCTCACCATATCTCTTGTTACTACAGAATAGGAATCTGCAGGACTTTTTCCAGATGCTCGCCAAAGTCTCTCCATTTTCTTCTGCTCTTCTTCATCAGTCCTAACACTGTTTCTCTTGGACACGTGGTTTTAGTCCATGCCATTGGTTTAGTCACGGTTCTAATGTTTCAGATTCTTTCTTGTACTCATGACACATTTTCAAATTCCTGAAAATCTGGTTGTGCACTTGAAGAGATTCAAAGTAAGATGATAGAAGTAAGAGGTGATTACAAAGAAATGTATCATGGTAACTTATCAAAGTTCCCTATAATTCCCAATGTAGCATCACCAGCTTATTCCCCTGACTATACATTTATCCACATTCTTCTATTAGGTGTGATTTCTGTAGTATTTAACATACTACAGCAAGTTGTACATCGCTCTATACCAAGTTGCAATACCCCTGGCTAACACTGTTGTGACAGTATGTTACCTTGCAGCAAAAAATACATTTTACACATCATTCTAACCATGTTGGCCCACCTGCTTGGGGTTTGCAGTCTATCACTTAAACATCACTGGACTAGTCTATTGTCTGTCAGTCTTCCCATGCTCATCTTGAACCAAATATAAAAGGCACTGTTGACATTTTGGCTTCTTCTATTGAATAATATAGTCATGCACCATCTAATGGTGAGCATAAGGTCACATATATGATGGTGATCCTCTAAGAGTATCATGGAGCTGAATAGTTCCTATTACCTAATGACACTGTCATTATAATGTCAAAACACATTACTCATATGTTTTTCGTAATGCTGGTGCAAATAAACCTACTGTGCTGCCAGTATTATAGAAATATAGTAAATACAATTATTACTGGCTGATGTACTTGCTGCAGTTTTTATTGCTATTTTAGAGTGTTCTCCTACTTATACAAAAAAAAAGTTGTACTGAAAAACAGCATATCTTGTTACACTGGCAGCAGCGTCATATGTCTGTGTGCACTGCATCAAGAGACCATGTGGAAAGATTGACCCACACCATCCTGGGTTGCATAAGTGCACTCTATGATGTTTGCATAAGGACAGCATCACCTAGTTGTGTGGTTCAGAAGTGCCCTTGTTGTGAAGTGATGCATGGCTGTGTTTCTATCTGTAAGGGAGAGTTGGGCATTTCTAGCAGTGCAAGAGAAAAGGAATTGAGAGTGAGCTAAACTGTTCCAGGCCAAAGCAAGACCTGTAGCAAGAACAGGCACTACTGATGAGCACTTGTGGCCACACATGCTAATCAGAGGGGATATGCAAAGCCAAAATCAGCTGAAGGTCCAGAAGAGCTCCCTGTGCAGACCCCACCCTCTGGTGGGGATTCTTAGGAAACCCGTCCTGATGGCTTTCTACCTCCAACCAGGGCTTATGAATACCCAAAGAAAGATTCCACTGAGGGCAGACATTCTGTGGCCAAAACATGAACATGAAGGTAGAGAGAGGAGTTCCCCAAGCAGGAGTTCAAAGTGGACAAGGGCTAGGAGCAATGTGGAGAATGGGGGTGTTTGGGGTGCTAGGAGTGTAGCTTAGTAGTAGAGCATGTGCATGTCACTATACAGGCCCTGGGTTCAATCTCCAGCACCAGGAAAGAAAGGAAGAAAGAAAGAAATAAAGAAAGAAGGAAGGAAGGAAGGAAGGAAAGGAAGGAAGGAAGAAGGGAGGGAGGGAAGGAAGGAAGAAAGAAAGAAAAAGAAAGAAAGAAAGAAAGAGAAAAGAAAAGTGTAGAACAGGGTGATTGTATCCCTAGAGAGGTTAGACTGCACACCGCATTACTGAGTTGTCGGGCACTGTTTCGTGAGTTGCCTGACAGGAAGGATTAGACAAGGGTTATGTAGAAAGAAAACGAAAGTAGTTCCAGAACCGTGGGCTCCCCTTTTTAGCTAGGGAAGATGTGGGTAGCTGGGTTTCTCCACGGCTCCAGGTGAGGACCCGGGCAGCACTGATATCCCACATCACCAATATTTTGTTTTAAAAATATATTAATATCTCAGTGGGGATTATTTAAGCTCTAGCCTCCTTGCCCTCTCAGCACATTTACTTAGCTACAATTTTACACTGGGAGCTTGTCCACTATGAAAGGTGGGCTCCAAGAATCTGTGAAACTCAAAGTAACTACTTTCCCCTGGTGTGGCACATACCTGTAATCCCAGCACTCTGGGAGGCTGAGGAAGGAGGATCAAAAACTCAAGCCCAGCCTGGACAACTTAATGATTTAATGAGACCCTGTCTCAAAGTATTAAAATGAAAACAAAGGACTGGAGATATAGCTAAATGTGAAGGCCCTGTGTTCAATCCCCAGTACCGCAAAATAAATAGATAAATTTACTACTATATATAAACTCTAGTTTAAAGGTTTGTGCGTTTTGTATGTATAAGTATGTGTGTGTGTGTGTGTGTGTGTGTGTGTGTGTGTGTTTGCCCTTCTGGGGAGGAGATTAAAATGGTAATAATAAGAAAAACAGAAGATCTCATAATTTTCTATAGTTTTTAATTAATATTATCTATGAAAGCACCATTCCTAATACCATTAATGATCAAGGATAATTATTGAAGAATGATAAAAATGAAACACAGTTACAGATAAAAGTATAGACACATTCATAAATTTCAAATTTAATATTGCATAGAGGCCATTAGAAAGATTTATTGTTACCAGCTATTCCTGTTTTTTTAAGGTGACAAAAATGCAAAATTTTATATATTGAAACCTATTAATGCTCAAGAAAGCTAAATAAAAAATGTATTCATTGCAAACTGAAATATAAGTTATTTTAAATAATAGACAGACGAGTAGGGAGATTAGAGTAGAAACCAGAAATGGGAGTCTTGCATAGTTATTTCCACTATCCACTTAAACCTAAAGAAAGAAAAGATTTTACTCACTCATAGTTAATTAGGTAATGTAGAAAGTCAAAATAGGGAATTTAGGCCAAAATACCCATACTGTGACTCAGCCTTTTAAATTTGTTGGTTTTCATCAAGCTGGAGTTACTAATTTCTCATGTTATACTGGGCGCAGGAAAAAAATGGATTCAATTTCAAAACCAGGTCACCATGTCAACAGTTTTGAAATCAATTTTTATAATTTAACAGCTGATTTTCTCATAGTTCACCCAAACACCAGCTTTTGACCCATTTATCTTTCATTTACATATAATAAAAAGGTATAAAGAGTTTTGAACCTATTCTCTTTTAATGAGTTAAATGAGAATTTAAAAAATTGATAATTTCACACAGCTATCCACAGTTCAGAGACATAGTCCTATTTGAACACCACTATTATTGGGTTTTTTAAAAAATAAAAACATAGACATTTAGAGTTACAGGGATCTTAAAAATAGTTTGTAACAAACAAGGCTTTAGGGTTGTAAGTGACAAAAAAAAATACAAATCAGTTTAGGCTGAAAAAAAATGGATTGGAAGGTCATCAGAGTGTCTCAGTTAACTGCAGTCAAAGCAAGGGTGGGTTTCAGAAACACCTGATCTAAACACCACCCAAATAACCTGTTTCTTGTCTTTGCTTTCCACTCCATGTGAGCAGCTTACATTTTTTTTTCCCATTTAGTTTATTGGTACATTTTAGGTATACAGTACAGTTACATTCAGCACTGGGATCTTGTACCTTTACATGAGTATCTTGGTTCATATTTTTTCCCCATTCCCCTGCCCTCCCTTCATCCACTCCACGCCTCCCTATTTACAAAGACTTTGTTTCCATGTTTTTCCTTTTCTCATATTTTTTCTTTTGCCTTCTTTTCTTTCTCCTTCCCCTCCCATTTCCCCTGCTCCTTTAGACATTTTCTTCCTATTTCACAATATCAATTATACACTTTGATTCTTATTTACACTTTTAGTTTTTTACACCAGAGAAACTATTCAGTATTTACACATTTGTGTCCTATTTATTTCACTTAAGAGCATTGCCTCAATGTGCATCTACTTAGCTATAAATGTCTCTAGTTTCTCATTCTTTATGGCTGGGTAGTACTCCATTTTATAAAAAAAAACCCAAATCTTTATTTAGTCTCCAGTTGATGGGCTCTTGGGCTGTTTCCAAGTTTTAGCTCCTACAGACTTGGGTAGCTTACATTTTATCTGGTGAAACATGGCTGCCAAATGGTCCTGAACCCCATTCTAAATACTACCACAGAGTGTCGGGAAGTTAGCCCAGTGGTGCTGCTGCCTGCCTTGCAAGCGCAAGGTCCCGAGTTCGACCCCTGGTACCAAATAAATAAATAAATAAATAAATAAATAAATACTACCACAGGAGGGCTGGCTGGCTTTTTCTAGCACCAGTCTAAAAATTAAAACATCCCAAGGAAGGACTCTGATTGGCCCAGCTTGGTCAGGTGCCCATTCATAGACCAAGCAACCATGGCTAGAAAGGTGAACTCATGTAAAAAATAATGGCAGTTTCAATAGTTGGAGTGTTAGCAACAGTACTTGAAAGAAAGGAGAGATGATGGACACCTTGCTTCAAAAAGCACTTAAACTCATTTTACTATGTGGAAATTTATGCTCAAAGAAATAAAGTGACTTACTCAAGGGTCCAACTTATATTTAAACTCAGCTCTTCTTTTTGGCATGTGCCTGCCTGGCTCACTCCCTCACACTGATGTTCATTCAGCAGGGAATCCTCATTTCAGGGTGTTTCTCCACAGGAAAGGCAAGGATGAGGTGGGGAGGATCAGTGCTCTTATGCTGTGATTCTACCCAGCCTTTTTCTGAAGTTCTAGCTCCACTAGTCTTCCTTTTGTCTAGTTTTGCTTCTTTTCTTATTAGGGGGGTATATGGATGAAGTGGAAATCCCCATTGTCCTCCTCCCACTGGTCCCAGGGGACTTACCCTGTGTAAAGATGATTGTCATAGTAACATCTTTTACTGAAAGAGGGCTTACTGTTTCAAGTGCTTTCTGTGCGTTCACTCATTTAACCCTCAAAACAGCCCTGTGAGGGAGAGAAACAGTAACAGTATTATCATTCTCACTTTTCAGACAAGAAACCTGGGCACAAAGAGTTTAATTAACTTGTCTGAATGTACTCTATCTAATTCATTTTATAGAAGTCGTGAGGTTTCGAAGGGTTGGAGGCTGGACTCAAATCACAGCATCGGGCTCCCACACTTGCTGTTAAACTGAAGGCAGGCTTTGGGACTGCTTGGATGCCTGCAGACCTAAGTGCCAACTCATCTCTGATGCTGCTGTCAACCTGGCTTGGATCAAGGCTGCTCCTATTGTGACCCTACAGTTTCCCATCCTGGTCTCTTGCCACCACTGTCTGAGCCACAGTGTCTTGCTCTGGCCCTGCCTCACCACTGCTGACAGTTGCTGTTGCTGCAGTTCCCCTGTTAATGAATGTGCCCTCCCACTGCTGTAAGGAGCCAACTATTCAGGTCTGCATGGATGGCACAGTTTAGGGTGCCCTCAAGGAAGCCTTGCTCTTTCAGGTTGAAGAATGAAACCTGAATCAAGTTCCACAAGGCCAAAGGTGATTGTCATAGTGCCTCCAGTGCAGACTCATGTAGAACCCCACAGTACAGACCCCATAAACACAGGGCCCCTAAATGATACAAAGAATGAGTATGTCAACTCTCTCTCACCTCAGGGTGAGTTCCTGGGCCCTTGTGGTTGGTGACACGCTTTATCTCCTGTACAAAGGGATCTGTGGTACAGGCTTTGGAGCTAGATAAGGGTTTCATACTGTCTGCTGCCCACTCACCCTGTGACCTTGGGTAAATAAGCTTTTTGTCATTGTTTTGTATCTTGGTTGGTTGGTTGGTTCCTTCCTTCCTTTTCTCTCCCTCGATCTTTTTTTTGAGACAAGGTCTCACTATGTAGTCCAGCCTGGACTTGATCTCATTATGTAAACCCAGGTTGGCCTCAAACTTGTGGCAATCCTCAGGTCTCAGGCTTTTGATTGCTGGAATTATAGGCCTGCACCATTGTGCCCAGCTCCTTGGTTTCTCTTGTACTGTATAGAATAAGAGTAACAATGTCTACCTCAATATCTTTAAAGAAGATTAAGTGAGATACTATGTTAAAGCTCATAACAGAGGGCCTAGTGTAAAATAAATGGCAATAAATGATGATAATCATCTTCTTAGTGTTTTAAACCTATTGGCTGAGCCCCCAAATCTTTACAATTTTTCTTTTTTGGTACTACGGATCAAACTCAGGACCTTGTGCTTGTGAGGCAGGTGCAGAGCCATTGAGCTAAATCCCCGGCCCTCAAATCTTCACAATTTTTTGAAGGGCCTGAGTGTGGCTTATGGGAATAGGATTGCTCATGACCTATAGCTTGGTCTTGATGCCCCTTCAGACCAGGCCTTGCCTGAAAGGGAGCAGGTTTGGTAACTCACAAAGAGAGGTGGAAGTGGTGGTAGGTTGGGGCCAGGCTCCTGTCTTCATTTGATGAACCTGTCAGTTACCCTGCTCTCCCCTCTCCTCCAGCAGGTGACTCTTCCTTACTTCTGCATGTTGCTGCTGCTATTTGTTTTCCTGCCCTGGCTGCACCAGCTCACTTTTATCTGATATCATCTGCAGGGAAATGTGATTCTTGCTCTGTCCAGGCCCCGCCCAACCAGAGGTTCAGCCCTGGCAAAGCTGCCTCCTGGAAATGCACACTGATTGCACAACTCTCACTCCCAGCTCACCCAGGCACTCACATCATTCTCACCTCTAAACATTTTAGCCACAGAAGTATGCTTTTTGTTCAAATTTTAACCATTCTTTTGCCTGCTTTTCTTCAGGTTTCCCAGTTTAGGAGCTGTGTCTGCTCTCTGTGGTTATAAAAGGCTATACTTGTGCCCTAGACCACACTGAGAACAAAGTGGCCAGTCACTCCATGTGGGAACAGATGGAAAAAGATGACCAAAGAGACACACTTCATGGATGAATGAAAGATGCCAGTGTCCTGAATTGAAACACTGCCTGATCAAAATTTTGCTTTAAGATAAGTGAAGGTTGTAAAATCCCTATTTAGAGATCTAGTTTGAAAACAGCTCCCCAACTTTGCCAGCATGCCTTTTCACTTTAAGACAGTACTGAGATTTGTGACTTCTCCAGCTAAGATAGCTTGACCTAAATATAAGTGTAAAATCCCTTGCAAGTCCTGCCTCCTGGAAAGTGGAACCACAGCATATTTTGCTGAGATAAAATGCCATGCAATCTTCTTGGTTTTTCCAGGAACCTTTCAGTCCTGAGGGAGACAGAACTCATGGCAGAAGGAAGGAAAAACAAATCATGCAGATGAGGTCACCTGTAGCTGAAAAATAAAAGAAGGAATTGGAGGGGACAAATTATGAGATTTTGAAAACGAATATCTAGAATATGGCAAAGAAGGTGCCAATCAGAAAAGAGAATTGCAGGTCCAGTAATAATGATGATGATGATGATGATGATGATAAAAGAAAAAGTGCAGGGGAAATAAAATGGTATGTGTAGTAGAGAAAGACACCTAGACAGGGTCAGGCTGGAAGAACAGGCAGAGTAAGACAAGGGTCAGGGTTGGGGAAACCCAGAACAATCTGTTTACAGAAAGAGGGTGTTTGGAAATTCCTATAGTGACTTTAGATATTCAGATGCGAACTAGAAAAGGACCCAAATCTGTGTTCTAATCAACTGCTTACTGATGTTCTATCTTGACTCCAGGGAATTCTCCCGGCTTTGAATAGGAGCTTGAGAGTGTAGGTTTCAAGGGACTAAATTATCTTCCATGTGGACCCGGACAAGGCCGCTGCCCGGGCCACCCCCTCGCTCGCTTGCCTGCCCATTGTCTGCGGCCCGGGTGGCCCGGCTGCCGCTGCCTCGGTGCGCTGGCCTTATTGTTCTCCCAGCACCGGCAGGCAGGAGGGTGGGGGAGCAAGCAGAGGATGCCAGCGGCGGTGGCGATCGGCTGCCACCCGAGCCAGAGGGCCCCAGTCCTTCGCCCCTGCCTCTCGGCGCCTCGGGTGGGTCTAAGGCCCCAGAAGCTCGGGCTCTGAGGGGGACTAGGCCTCTGCCCTGGCCTGTCGATCTCGTGCCTCGGGAGGGAGCTGGCTGCGGCCCAGAGCAGGAAGCCCAGGCAGGCGTCCCAGGGCCGCGCTGTGGCTCCCGAGGGCCGCCAGGGCGTCCAGCTGGGGGAGGGACGCTATGACGCACCCTCGCGGTATTAGTACACTTCACCTTCTATTTATAGGCACTCCTCGGCTGCAGACCTAGCTCGCCCTCACGCTCCTTCCCTGCATCGTGAGCAAAAAATCCTACCTAGAATGGAAGATCCTAGTATGTGATGATAAGAAGCATTCTATTTTGTGCATTCCTTTATAATTCCAAGTGTTAAGTGCAGGTCTAACGATCTTTTTCTGGCACAGGGAATCCTCCAGTTTTCGAAATCTTTAAAACCTACACGACTTTTTTTTTACATGCCTCCTAAACGTGTCAAATAAATTAATCTCTTGTAAGTTCATGAAATAGTCTCCAAGAATTTGCGCAGGCTGGATAAGACGTAAGCCCACTGAATTTAGGGACAGGATATTTCTAGCTGGTGTTCTGAATGTGCTAAAATCTAGCAGTTCTAAACGTGGAATTTATTCTGGAGAGGGACCACGCCGGACCGCTTTTAGGTACCGACTTTATAACTTCAGATGTACACTAAAAATAATTCTTACCTGGTCACATTAACATTTGCAGTAATTAAAAGAAGGAATTTTTTAAAAACCTAATGTATTTCTCATAATTTGGTTGTCTGTGCTGCAGTCAACCTGAAGAGGAAGCCTGATGATCATTTTTTATCTTGGTTTCTATTCAGTTTCACTTTCTAAATGCCAGAAACTAGAGTCTACTACCCATTAGGTTCAAGAAAAAGGATCGGATATACATCCATAAGTTTAGGTTTGTTTTTAAAAGTCTAACCACAGTTGATTCCTGTGTGAGTAGATCTATGATGGCAAAATGGGTTGTGCCTCTGGCTAACACCTACTCTATGAAGTGGGGATGTGTGTAATAGCAGGGGTTTGCTGTGGAGAGTTCTATGCCCTGATACCTTGTAAGTAGTTACGGAAGATTACAAATAGCAATTGTTACAATGCATTTAAGATATTCATTTGATGATAGGATCCTGTTCATCACAGTTTGGCAATAGCCACTATAGTTTACATACCCTGAGAGCCAGCAATTCCATTCTTTAAAAGTTTATGGTAAAGATACAATATGCACATGTGAAGTCACTGGTTGTTGCAATGCTTGTTCTAGCAAAAGATCAGAAACGATATAAATAGCCTACAATTGTGGTACATCTATATAACAAACTGTTATGTAGCCTTAAAGATCAAAGGAGAAGTTTTTTATATTGATAGGGAAGTAACTCCAGGATATATTGTTAAGTGAAAAACAGAAAATACAGAAACAACCAGGGGTAGTGGTACACACCTGTAGTCTCAGCTGCTTGGGAGGTTGAGGGAGGAGGATGCCTCGGACCTAGGAGTTTGGGGCCAGCATGGGCAACATAATAAGATCCTGTCTCATAAATAAATAAATAAGAAAGACTGAGAATGTAGCTCAGAGGTAAGAAAAAAATTTATTTTCTATAATTTCTCCTTTTGGATCTTTGAAGTTTGTCTCATAAGCATGTATCATCTATTTAAAACATTTTAAACTAAGAATACTTCAAAATTTCTTGCTCAATTTACACACATATGGTCGGTCTTTCTTTTCATTTATAGGTGAGTTAAGTTTTGGTGGGAAATCTTTGATTTCTTCTTTTGTTTGACTGTGAAAATTCTGTGTTGGTGATTATTGTTATTTTGGAGAAGTTTATTGGGAAGTAAAAAATAATCTAAGCTCTCATCCTCAGCACTCTCAGCCTAGTGCAACCAAATCTATGATGATTCATAGAAATGCTTTATCTGAAGGTTGTTAGAACTGTGCTATCAGCATTTTAAAAGTAAGCACTGTTCATATTTTTTCTCTAGGTTTGTGGCATGTTATAAATGGGAATAATAGTAAAGTGAAAAGTCTATTCAGGATCCATTATAAAATAATTATTTGAAGAGATTTAGCTGGGTGCTGTGGTATACATCTGTTATTCCTGGTACTCAGGAGGCTGAGGAAGGAGGATCCAAAGTTCAAGGCCAGCATGGGCCACTTAGCAGGACCCTGTCTCAAAATTTTAAAAATGTAAAAAAGGGGCTGGGGATTTAGCTCAGTGGTTCCACCACCTACCTCACAAGCACAAGGACCTGAGTTTGATCCCTAGTACAACAAAAACAAAACAAAACAAAATGTAAAAAGGACTGGGAATTTGTTAGTGGTAGAGTGCTTGCCTAGCATGTGCAAGGCTCTGGTTTCAATCCCCAGCAGTATACCACGCACAGATGCATACAACACAGACACAAGCACACATACACATGGGGCACAGGGCAGGGGAGAGACAATTTATAACTCATCCATTTTACCTTGCATCAGATTGTAATTTAAAGTCCTGTTTATCAGAATTCTTATTTCCTATAAGGCTTCTTATACTATAGATCAAGTGAGATTTCAAACTGTTCCAGTGAGGTAATGTGTACAGAGTGCCTCTGCCTTTATTACAGAAGTGAAGAAAAAAAAACAAAACCAAAAACACAGACATTGAAATGGAGTACGGTTGGGCACTGCCAGGGTTATGTCAGAAATAAGTCAAATGTTTTCTTTTCAATTCCCCTGTATGTGTTTCTGTAAAGAATTTTTTTTTCTGGTACTGGGGATTGAACCCAGAACCTTGTGCTTGTGCTTGTGAGGGAGGTGGCGGAACAGCTGAGCTAAATCCCTGGCCCTCCCCTCTATGTGTTTCTTATATATGTTTTGTGTTGCTACTGAATGGTACAGCAACTGGAATGGGTACAGAATTGATGTTGCAGCACTGATGTCTCATGAGAAAGATGATGATGAAGATGAAGAGGACGAGCAGAGATATTTTTGACAAATGGAAATATCTTGGGTTCACCTGTATATGAATGAACGTGCATAGAGCACTTGGCCAGCATAGAGTTTGGAATGGGAAAAGAGCTCAGCGTAGAGTTCGGAATGGGAAGGGGCTTACAGCAGTAATCTCTTGGGTCACAAATTGCGTGTGGAGTCGCAGTGTGAGGGTGCTCATTGCCTGTCTCCCACTTTCTTAAGAACCACCAAGTCCCTGTGTATTTCTCTACCTTTGTATGCCACCAAAGTGAACCACTTCCATGATTTTTACTCTCTGTAGGCACAGCTGTGCTATTATTTCTGGAGAGCTTTTGTTAGCTAATTCAAGCTAACTTTGCTTTCTACTTAAGCTTAGCTTTGCTTAAGCAATGATCATGGCTTTTGGTATCAATAATATATGTTTTTAGATCTAATATAATGAAAATATTATATGTTTGTAATATTAGAATAAAATGTATATTATATATACAATAGAGTAAAACGGAGAACTTTCTGAAAAGCTCTCATGTAGCATGGTAGCCAGTTGGAATACAGGAAATGAGACATCAGAGTGTAATTTTGTCCTTGGGATATTGCTGTAACCGGGAGAGGACCCTGTGAGATACTTGGCAACTACTTGTCCCCTTCAACAACCTAGGTTTGGTTGGAGAAAGAAGCCCTGGAAGCTGGAAGAGCTGTATAACTGCTGCTCATATCAGCATGATTTTCTTACTCTTCCCTTTGCAAACTCCAGCCCAGATCCTTCTTGGATTCTTGCTTTTATCTTCTAACTAGGATCTCTGTTGACAGATTCTTTCCCCCCAGAACTCTTTATTTGATCATCACCAAATATTCACCAAATATTGAAATTGAATAAAGTTCCAATTGAGTTAAAAATCAAAGTTGAATTAAAATTATTTTCTAAAAGCATATGAAATGGTATGAGACATTTTTCCATATATTGTTAAATTTATACATATACATACATTAATAAATTTATGCATATACATACTTAGGGACCAACATTTTAACTGTGATTGTCTCTAGATTATAGTGTTTTCCCAAGTCTACTCCAATTATAGGAGGCTTTGGAAATAAGAAATAGGTCTGCCTTGACTTTATTTTTCTACCTTCCGTGGGCTCTTGAGGTATGACCTGGTGCTGAGGTAGAGTGTGGGAGCAAGATTCAGAACCCCTTTCTCAGAGACACATTCATATATTCTGATTTTCTCTCCTACCCTGAGTCCAGGGCATCATTGTCTTGTGTGTAGCAGGGCAGCCTGGCCTTTCACTCATCTCCCAACAAGGTCAGTTTCACAGATAAGGCCCTCTGCAGATGAACAGAGCCTCACACTCAGAAAGGCATACATTTGGCTTAATGCTCTGCTGTACTATCCTGAAAAATCTTCATTTCATTTTTACCTGTGTCACCTGTGGTTTTTAGGTGAAGTCCCCTGAGTCAGTGTGCCATAGGCCGAGGGATGTGATCAGGTGCACACCCACTCCTCCTGGCTGCCCCGTGACACAATATGGCTGCGGAGAGTTCCCTGAGTTGTATTTGTGCTTTGTCTTGGAGTAAGTGGGGATGCTGACAGCCGGAGAGGCCATGCTCTCCATTCCAACCTGAACTTAGAAAAAGATAATGGTGTCCTATAAAACATGAATGACCAAGGAATTCCATCTTGTCCTTTCCTGCGTGCTATTTCCCAGCACCAGCACATCACATATGCTGAACATGAAGACAGAAGGAAAGGGAAATACAGGGCAATCTCCAGGGTTTTTTCCTCTCAGGCTTGCCTTCCTCAGCAGTAAGTTGAAGGCAGAGGTTTAGAAAGATGCACACAAAGCAAGAGTGAAATAAAAATATTTCAGTTAGTTATATAATGCTTCCTCTGTTCTGGTAGGAGTGAAACACATATGCACACGCAAACTCTGAAATATAAATTGTATAATGTCACTGATTCCTCATATATGAAATGGAACAATATAAAAATAAACAATAACATTCAGGCTAATAATTTACAATTTCAATTTTTTTTTACTTCAAATGACAATAAAGAACATTAAAGAACAAATAAAAATCTTTTCACACCATGAAAAGTCGTGGGACAGTGGTTCTGCTGCCTGCCTCACAAGCGCAAGGTCCTGAGTTCGATCCCTGGTACCAAAAAAATAAATAAATAAAGTTGTGGGACAGACTGTGAAAGAAAATCTTTATATTCTAGACTTTAACAGCACTTTTTGCCTGGGCCTCACAAATTATATAGCTAGCCCTGTTTCCAAATCTATCATTTTCATTGCATTGTAGCTTATGATGACCTATCTCTTCTTTAAACTATTGTCTCTGCAGTGAGTTCTTAAAGTCCATTTTGAAAACTGAAAGTCAAGAATTGACTTTTTCTTTTTAAATCTATGCTGTCTAATATCTTTACCCTGAAGAAATGGATTGGAGTATGGGAAATGCAGAGAAAACCACATTGGTTAATGCCTGAAAATACTATCCCCTATATTAAAAATAAAAACAACAAAATCTAGCAACTATAAATCCCTTGAAGGCAAAGCTTTTCTTTCTTCTCTCTGGGCTTACTATAGTTCTTTCCTTATTTCCTAAAATTGAAACTTGTTCTTTTCCTCAACAAGTGTTTGTTCAATTAAAATTAAAACACTTTTCATTATGCTATCCCAGTTCTCAAACACCATCAAAGGCTCCCTATTGTCTTATCTTATAAATTGAAACTCATAACTAGGTATTTAAGGCTCTGTAATCTAGGACCAATGTACTTTTCCAAATGCATCTCCCAAGTCTTGCTAGAACTTAGTAAGTAATTATTGAGTAACTATGGAATGACTGATTACATAATTTCTGGGAGTTATAGAAAGTACAGATGGATAAATTACCAGTCCTTTTAAGGTCATGCTTATGAAATAGATGCCAGCTAACATTAATGCCCCAATATTGGCAGTTAGTGATGAGCAGTACAGATCCTAAGTGAGAATTGTAAGAAATGTGCTTCTGAGAACAGTCATTTCTACTGAATCCCTTCCCAGCACCTGCAGAATTCAGGGACTGGGAGGTTGGGAGGGCTGTCTGAAGCTTCTGCTCAGTCTACCAGAAGGGGCTGCAGAGAGCAAGCCTCATGCACATGGTGTTTTCCTGTAGACCACCTTACCGGGCACAGCCAGCTCCTGTGCATAGGAGTTCAAGGGCCATGAAATCATAACCATTACTAAGGGTCACAATTTAGTATGCTAGCAATGAGCCATTAAGGAAGGCTCTGGGCAGAGACAGGCTTTTAAAGCAGTATAATCCAAGCAAAGGTTATTCTGACTGTACATTTGTGGGAAACAATTAAGATTTCAACATGCCTAGGGGGAGACTCATAACCTCACAGGGCTGGGAGAAACTTCCAGAACCATCTTGTCCATTTTCCTGTCTTTAGTTAGAAAACCTTTGAATATTTTTAGAAAACTACCCAGCTATCCCTAAATCTTTTGGTAACTTCTTTATTTGTGTATCAATTCTGATTTCAGGGAGCTACTTTTGATATTTAGTCTAAATTCTTATAGTTAACTCTCTCCTTTCATTTCATTCCTCACTGTCAACTTTAAAAGGCTTTTGTGCCTACTTGCATATTGACAGAAAGCTGATATTACAATTATTGTTACTGTTTCATCCTCATGGTTATTATTAGCACTGACCACACACTATGTACAAGAATACATAAGCAAATACATTTTTAGTCCAGTCCTGAAACAAAGCTTTTTAAAACCCAAGAATGCTTGAGTATTTCTAACTTGGAAAAGGGGGAGTAGGCAGATGAGAATAAGAGTGGCAAGACTGTGTTCTGTATCTAGGGCTGTAGTCCATATCTTTCTCACTCAGCTTGGGAAGAAAACTTGTAGCTTGTTAATGTCTACTAAACTTGTAAAGGAGGCATGTGGAGGTGGTGGGGGAATGCATGGTGATACAAACTGTAGGGGCCTGGTGAAGGTGTGTGTGTGGGGGTCTGCATGAGAACATGTCACAGTCTCATGTGAGGATTAGAAGAAAATATTTATCAGAGGCGAATTGTAACAGTAACTTCCTTACCCTTCTCTCAGGGTCCCTGCTAAGAGGAGAAATGAAAAAAGCAAAGATATACCCCATAATGAAAGATATCCCAAGGCCTGAGGCTCATGTGATCTTGTTCTGTTTCTTACTTTTTTTCACTCAAAACATTTTAAAGATTGACCCATGTTGCAAAATGTACACTTATTGCATTACTTCCAGCAGCTGCATGGTTTCCATAGCATCCACCACATTTCACTTAGCCAGTGGACTGGCACTGAAGTTATTCAGACTATGTGCCATCTCAAGTGCTGCTGTCCCAAGCACCTTCACCTGTGCCTGCTCCTGGACTTGTGCAAGGGTCTCTTGGGGGTGTACATTTCCAGGAGTAGAACTGCTGGGTAACTGTCAAAGCACATTATACATTTCCTGAAGTATTTCCAGATAAGGCACCAAAATGACAGTGCCAGGTCTTAACTCTCAACAGGAAAGCAGGAGGCTGTGTTTATGCCTCCTTCCATCCTACCCAGTACTTAGTATTATCCAATGTTCACACTTTTGAAGGTAAAGAAGTGTCTTGTTTTAATATACATTTATCAGATTTTAAGTGAGGTCGGATAGCTCTTCATCTACTTGTTAATCTCTCAAGGTTCCCTGCAATAAATTTGCCTTTTCATACCCTTTGGCTAGTTTTCCATTGCATTTCCTGTTTTTGTTTTTATTGGATGTTTTGTTTTTATTATTGTATTTGCAGGAATTCCTAGTATATTCTACATAGTAGTCTTTTGTTAGTTTTAGTCTTTGGAAATAACTTCCAATCTGTCAACTTTATCTTATCTTGTGTATAATGTTCTTTGTTGAACTGAAAACTTCAATTTTGATGTTATCAAATTCATCATTATTTTGGTTTTATGGTTCATGCTTTAGGGTCTTGCTAAAAAGTCCTTTTTGATCTTAAGATCATAAAGGAATTCTCTTTTTAAATTTCTATTCACTTTATAGTTTTACTTTCCTCCTCCCCCTCCTCTTTTTTTTTTTTTTTTTACAGTGTTAGGCATCAAACCCTAAGCTACCCCTGAGCTACATCCCTAACCCATCATTTTTTTTTAAAAAGTTCATCTAGAGCTTATTTTTGTGCAGGTTTTTTTGAGACAGAATCTCCCTATGCAGTCCAGGCTGGCCTTGAATGAGTTAGGAAGCCCAGGCTGACTTTGAACTTGTGATTCTCCTATCTCAGCCTCCCATGTTCTAGAAATACACCACACTCAGCCTCTAGAGCATTCTTTTGTGTGTGGTATGAAATATACGTATGATTTTATATTTTTTCATAGTGAATCAATTTCTCTAACATTATCTATAAGACTAAACTTTATGTTAGTGTATTGTTCCTAATCTTTCCAGCACTCCCAGCTGTAGAATTACCACCATGCTCTTTGCTATGTGATTTTTGTAGCACCTCCCACTGTTGATGATTGATTTGGACATATAAGTTGTTTGGCAAATGGAATGTTTGTGGGTATGATGGGAGCAGAAACATTAAATATTTTTGAGTGATTTTGCTTCAACTCTTGAGCACCTGTTATTGCCAGAATGAGACATGTGGTGAAGACTTAAACCTGACTTTCATCCTAGAGCCACACTCAGCTAAATTCTTCTGAGCCTAACCAAGTATTGATAAGCCCAGTTGTGATCAGCTTAATCTCAGGTCACATACAGATCCTTGAAGGAGGGCCAGGGATTTAGCTCAGTGGTTCCGCAGCCTGCCTCAGAAGTACAGGGTCCTGAGTTGGATCCCTGGTACCAAAAAACAAAAACAAAAACAAAAACAAAACAGACCCTTGAAGGAAAAGAAACAAAAGGCATCGATAACCACTGGTATTTGAGGTTTGTCTTATGTTATTATTATAATTGCAGCAAGCGATGGCTATCTCAGAGCACTTTTCTCATGGAAAAGCATTGTGGCCTCACCATTATCATGTCACATATCAAGTTATTACAGACAAACAGCTTGCTTCTGAGTTCTTTTTAAATTCCCTTCTATTTCGTTCTTTCTTTTTTGTTACTGGGGATCAAACTGGGGACCTTGCACTTGCGAGCCATGTGGTGGAACCACTGAGCTACATCCCCAGCCCCAATTTCCTCCTATTTCTAATTTTCTGAAAATTTTTATCATTAACAAGAGATGAACTTTCCAAAGTGCTTTGTCTCTCTTAGTTTTGGGGTTTTTTTTTCCACCCTTTAGTCTAATTCAGGTAAGTTACACTGGAAGGTTTTCTGATGTCAAAACATAACTTGAATTTCTGGAATAAATCATACTTGATTTGTGTTTTCATGAGAGATGTGTTAGTCAGCTTTTTGTCACTATGACAAAATACCTGACATAATAATCAAGTTACAAGGAGGAAAGGTATGTTTTGGCTTATGGCTTCAGAGGTTCTAGTCCATGGTCAGCTGACTCATTGCTACTCAGCTTGCACAGAGGCAGTAATCATGGTGGGAGTGTATGGTAAAGCAAAGCCATTCATGCCATAGCCTCTGGAAAGCAAAAGGAAGAGGAGTGGCCCGGGTTCATATAGCTCTCTTGAGGGCACTCCCCAAAGGACCTAACTTTCTTCTACTAGGCCCCACCTTCTAAAGGTTCCACCAATTCCCAATAGTGTCACAGGCTAGGGACAAAACCTTCAATACGTGGGCCTTCGGGGACATTCAGGATCCAAACTATAATAGGTGGCCAGAGAGGTAAGTATTCTAAACTAAAGTGAAGGAAAGAGTGTCAAGATTTCTCCTAGCTCAGCAGAGCAAGCATGATAGATTTAGTTTGCTAATATTTTATTTGTATTTTTTATAACTATGTTCATAAGTAAAATGGACTTACTCTTTTCAACTGTTCTTTTTCAGATTCAGATTCAGAATTAATTCTGCTCTCTGTGTGTGTACACGTGCACTTACTTCCTCTCTCTTCTTTCTCACAATGACTTTTTCTTCATTTGTTTTGTAATTTGGATTGTGAATTCATGTTTGCCATGGAAATTCCATGTAAATGTAGGAATTCTGTGAGATTGGAGATTAATCCTTTATCCAAGAGAAAGAATTTGTTTTCTTTCCTGGTTCATGTGGGTGGTATATATATTCAGACTTGTTTATAAGGAGCAGTAAAAAGGAAATCTTTTACCACATTTTGCTTGTATTCTTTAAATTTTTAAAAATTATACATGTAATTAACTATCACAGCATGTTAGAAACTACAGATATACGCAAAAGGAAAACTGGATAAATATGAAGCAAGTCCTGCTTATCTCTGACAAACACAAAGTCTTCCTAGACTTTTCCTTGGATCCTTATTTAAGTGTTGCATGTGTATACTTTTTGAACCTCTCACCTGGACTGTAAACTCCTTAAGACAATACAATCTCAGACAGTACTTTTTAAAAAAATGACTGTCATGGACTTAGCACATCACTATGGTTTGTAAGAAAAATGACAGCAATGATATAAATATACTATTTGTATGTTGCATTTAAAAATGTGGATCCTGGGGCCAGGGATTTAGCTCAGTGGTTCTGCTGCCTGCCTCGCAAGTGGAAGGACCCAAGTTCAATCTCCGGTACCAAAAAAAAAAAAAATGTGGATCCCACAAAAGAAAATTCTACCTCTGAATTCTGAGATCATAAACTAGTAAGCTTCCCACATATAGTAGACATGTATACAAAATCTGTTACAGTAATTTTTTAGGCTTATAAAATTTTACTTAGTTTTCCATACTTTTCAGTGTTGTAGTTATATGAGATATCCCCATGTTATTTATGAAAGAAAGTTTGCCAGCTTCACCTTTTTTTAGGGATTACCCCCCTCTGAGGTGTGTACACAAGAAACATAGGAAAAGAAGTGATCACCAAAATGAGAAATAAATGGTATATAAGAGAAAGGAAGTAAGTACATGAGAGAAAAGAAAAGAAGAGAAAAAAGGAATAAGCAGGGGCGGGGCAGGGGATTTAGCTCAGTGGTTTCGCCGCCTGCTGTGCAAGCGCAGGGACCTGAGTTTGATCCCTGGTACCGAAAAAGAAAAAAAAAAAAAGAAGAATAAGCAGGGGTTCTCAAATTGAATATTTTAGTTTTTTAATCTTTTAAAGTTTTAGTATTCATCCAAGATACCTCAGAGGTTTGTTTTAAAAAGCAAATGTTCAGGAGCCAGGGATTTAGCTCAGTGGTGCGGCCACCTGCCTCGCAAGTGCAAAGTCCTGAGTTCGATCCCTGGTGGAAAAAAAAAAAGCAAATGCCCATGTACAACCTAGAGATGACAACTCAATAGGTCTGAAAGCAGACCCATGAGGAATACTGAAATTGGGAGAGCATAGAACCAGAAAGTGACATATGGTGGGGATTCTTTCTCCTCTGCCACAAGACTCTGGGTATTTGGCGATCCTTTGAAAGATAATAGTATAGGTTTAGTCTCAAAATCTTCTATTATCAGTACTCACCACAGTATGTAGAGTAACACTCTCACCAGTTACATTCACCCTGCCAAAAAGTGACCTGGCAGTGGGAAAAATAGGGAAAGGGCTTTTTTTACAATGTATCATTAACACAGTAGCCTATGTTAGAAAGGCAGCAAATTTTCACACCAGGGATCTAGTTTGCTTAGCTTATCATAGCACCCCGGATAAAGGAGGATTGTGCTCTCTCTGTGGATCATCATCTCTTGGTGGCAGGAAACTGGTCTCCTCGACTTTCAGGACACCAAAGGAGTTTCAGCACCCTGAGGGCAACACACACCCAAGCAGCTGACTGCTATATGAAGTTTGTAGCACAACTTGTTTTCATAAATGGGCCCAGGGCTACAGAAAGAAAGCATGGAGTAGGGCTAAAATCAGAAAGGGAAGAGGGGAAGCCTTGAATGGTGGCCCATATATATAATCCTAGCTACTCCTGCCTATCCTAGGCAAGAGGATAGCAAGCCTAGAGCCCAGCCCAGCAATTTAACAACTTAGGGAGACTCTGCCTCAGACAAACAGAACTCAAAGAAACAAACAAAAAGGGCTGGGGATGTAGCTCAGTGGTAGACACTTGCCTAGCATGGGCAAGGCCCTGGTTTTAGTCCTCAATTCGGGGTGGGGGTGCGGGTGCAAGAGACATCAGGCTATGTGACACCATAAAGCCAAGGGGAAGGATACAAATCCTAAAACGACACAACTCAGGAAAAGCCCCAATATGACTAGTGTAAACCTTTGTTCTCAATATCTCTTATGAATTCCAGAACAGTGCAGGTTTCAGTAACCTGAAAAAAAATTCTCTTGCCCACTTCAAGACCTCAAGTTAATAATCCTCAGTCTCTTCATTTGTATGTGGGAAATGGACGAAGGGTGTTCTAAGTAGATGTGACTAGGAATGCAAGGTCTGACTTGCCTTTCCTGGTTTCTCGAAAGAAAGCAATTGTTTCACGCCCCAAGACCGCATCTAGCAGGAAAGAAAGCGGGTCTTGCCTGGGTGTTTGCTTTTTTGGGAGAGCACCTCTGTTGAAGTTTATTGGTGACAGTTACTTCCAAGTATCAGTGCATGGAAAGGGTTAAGGTCGGTGCTGATTACTGGACAGTAGCCAAGATATTGAGAAACGCCATAGCTCCTGGGAATCAGCAGGCAGCAGAGCGAGTAGTGGGTGCGCCCAAGCTCTGCCTTCAGGGCCCAAGGTGAGGAAGTGGGAGAAAGAGCGGTAAGGGGAGGTAGGTAAGGTATGTACACTCATTGAAAAGCAAAGGCTGTACAACTCTGCTCACGCCAGGTTAAGAGCCTTTTGCAGAACTCAGAAAAGAAACGGTGTGTGTGCAGGAGCCGTTTCAACCTGTCCCCACCCTACCCTGGCTTCCCCAGAAGACAGGCAAGCGAGGGGGCCAAGGCATTGCCAAGCCTCCCGTCTCTGGTTTCCAAGCTCCTCCGATCCCAGATCACAGCCCCACCGGACTTCGGACAGAGCCGATTCCAAGAGTGGGGCCAAGTTTGGCTCTGATACCCTTCAAATCTGGTGCCCGCCCCCCGGGAGTGGGGGTTTGGTCTTAGGGGCTCCCAGCAGCCCCAGGCAGAGGCTGAGCAGCAGCCGCCTGCAATCGGAGTGGGGAGCCAGCCTCCGCTGCTGCCTCCTTCTGTCGGCAGAGGAGCGCAGCCAGTCGCTATCGCTGTCACGGAGCCAGCAAGGCGGTCCCCGCCCCCCGCGCGGCCCCAGCCCTCACACTGTTCTTTGCGTGACTGACCTGAGTCGGGCGGGCTGGAGGACCGCGCAGAGGAGGGAGAGGGGGTGTGGACACGCCCACTCGCGGCAGTGGCCTTCTTCTCATTGGCCACTCGCTGGCGCCTATCACTGCCAAGCGGCATCCGGATTGGCAGAAGGCGCACTTCAGGGGCGAGGAGGGGCAGAGTGACTCCACCGGTCTCCGGCGTCTCTTCTTACCCTCCACCCCCCCCCACTTCAACGTCCACCCACTTCTCCCCACCCCCACTCCACATCCCCCGCCCCGTTCACGGCAGTGTCCTTAGAAGACTCATTGGGCTAGGGGCGAAGCCAGCCGTGGATCCAGCCGCGCCACCATTGGCCGACGCCCACGCCCGTCGGAGCTGCGGGCCTCGTCATTCGGCAGCTCTGCTCTGCTCCCCGCCCCCCCAACGCCTCGCCCTCCCAGTCGCCTCCTCCCTCGCTGCTGGCCCTGCCCGCGTACCCCGCCAGTCCTCGCCGCATCTCCCCTGTCCAGTTGGGCGGGGACTGCTGTACGACTCTGTAAAGTCTTTGAGTCACTGCACAACCCATCAATCCAATTAAAGGTCTTGAACGAACTGAGCAGGCGGTGCTGCGGCCCGCAGCCGCTCGCCCAGTCGCGGCCGCCCCTGCTCGCGGCACCCCTCTGATCCATGGCTGTCTGTCTGTACTTGTTACGGTGTAACATCCTCCTTATCCTCCACCACCACCACCACCACCACCACCACCACCACCACCACC